AAACAGATCTTGAAATTTTATGTTCCGATATCTCAGGCCAGTCAGGTGATTTGTTTCTTCTATAAACACTTTTTACACTTTGCAATTCAAGGCTTTCCCTTGCACAGAAGTGGTTAATAGTTTCTGATTGTTTTCCGTGCCAAAGTAATTCCAAAGTGCTGCAAATCCTTGTTTTCTACCAGCTCTCTCCAAAATAGCACTACTGATTTTGTATCAAGAGTCTGTATTTTGCCTTAAAAGGAGTTTGTAGCAGAAAATGTGGAACACCGGGAAGCTGGTATCTGGACAATTTTTGAAAGGGGAACACGAAGCTCATGAATATGAGGTAYTGTCATTTCCTATGATTAACAACCATCAGATGCTTGACATTTTGGCTGGATGCATCAAATAAAGCACAATAAAAATAAAGTTATCTCCATCTCCTGTTAGCAAAACTGCATTTCTTTCTTATTTTGATGAACTCCTCTACTTGCTTTTTTAAAAACCACAACACTTACTTGCTGCTTAGGGGTCCATTAGCATGATATTTGCCAGTTTCTGTCACCTCCTTGCTGTTCCTTCCTATGCCTATGCTATTGCAGTAAGCATGACCATTTTACACTGTAAATRAGTACTTTTGCAGCAGATGCTTAGCATGATTTCTTGTATTTAGTCATACAGCAAATGAGACTGCAAATTACTAGGAGAGGGAGGCAATCTGGTACTTTGTCACCTTTAAGAGTTAAGGATTGTTGTAAGTTATGAACATGAGGCATTAGTTGTTCTGACCAGAGAGAGAAAATTAGATTAATATGCTATTACATTTTTTTTCATCTTCCTGTATGTTCTCAGCTGATGCTGCTTGACTTCACTCTGTCCCTTTTTGAGTTTTTGGAGTGTGTTTTCCCCCATCGTGTCATGGTCCTGCCTGGTACCTTGTTAGAATCAGGACTCTGCTGAATCTCTCTCACGAAACAGAAATTGGTATTCATGACAGTTCTTACAGTTTCATGATCAGAAAGAGGAACACTGGTGGGAGGCATCCAACATCCAATTTTATCAATATGAATAGCTGAGCACAACACTTTCCTCCTTCCTCTAGTATTTCACAGGAACAACAAGACTGTAAATGATCACAGTGGAGATGCTCTGCCTTTCCTCTGATTGACTGTGTTAACAAATACAATCTGATAACTGCTGACATGATATGATGATATGATATCACATCACTACTCAGTGACAAAGTCAAGGCAAAGCATCCATCTAGAGCCTTCTTCCTCCTCCTAGAGATTCTGTCCTAATTAGTCCTTGGAGTTAATTCAGTTCTACTTCAGCAGTATGTCTTCCAAAATATCTCTAAAATAATCATAAGGTGCTTCTCTAACATCAGATAATGGCACAAAACATAAAAAAATGGTACTGAATGCTCTTCAAATTATGAATTGTAAATCACTGCCATCTTTTTTCATATAGGTGATGCCCAAGTATGCCTGCAAGAACAAGTAACTGTTCTCACTGACTTTTTAGAAGACCTTCTGACTATCTATAGGTTTATTAGATCCGTATTTGTTATGACAACAGAACATGATTGTTTTCTGATTGTGCTGTGACAGAGGATACCAACTCCTAGATGTTAAAACTGCTGTCCAGATAGTAGGTTACATCATAACTCCAGCAAAGAAAGGGAAAAAATTCAATTATGCAAGAGAAAACATTTCATACTACTTGAAGATCAGTCAAGCATCCAAAACAGCTTTCCTGTTCACACACCTCTGCCAAAGAAAGCAGGTTTCAAAACCTATGAAGAGCACTTAGAAGTACAGACCTCAGTATCCCTGAGGAATGTTGCTGTGCAAGTCGGGGATATTGAGGGGCTCCAAACACAGGTCTTCTGGTCCATTTTCCTGGGGTGTGGCAGGTCCCCAGGGCAGAGTGCACATGAACTATGTACCCTCCAGAAGGTGTCAGTCACTTYGGAGTTGTGCCTCAGAGCAGATGAATTAACAGCAACCCCGTCCCAGGTCTTTCAAATGCACCCCAGTCTGGGACTGCTATTCCTGCTACTGCTGCTTCCCAAGGTGAAGGAGATTGCTAAAGATTCCAAGCTGAGCCAGTAGCTAGGAGTTGCATGTAGGGCACAGAGAGATGTTTAGAGAGASATGCTAAGCATTTCCCTCCTACAATTTAAATGAAATGGGCTGAGCTTCTTTGTAMAATCAGAATTGAATTTACCTCTGCGAACAGACACACATGGGCCTAGGACTTTGTGGGAGCAACAGCTTCAAAGCTCTTAATGGATATATGCTATAGGATTTAGGATGGCTCCTAAAATACTACAGAAAAAGTCTGGTGGCTAAGCCAAAGCCATTGTTTGGGAGACCAAAGCTCATTACTTGTCTCCCCTGTGCCCAGCCTCAAAGGAGAGCATCCTATTTCTGTGCTCAGCAACATCAGTGGGGACCCAGAAATAGTGTTCAGTAGTTCAGGGCAGTGTGGGCCAGGGTAGAGTGAGTGAAGATTGCAGTCCTGTGACTCCAAGGGAAGTGTTATTCATGAGCATTGTAGCCTTGAGYCTGTCAGCTGAAAGGCTTCTCTGCTCACAGGGTCGCTGGAGAAGGCCGAGTCATGGTCATTATGACAGGGGATGCTAGAGATGAACAGGGACAGCAGCCCTTGTAGCTGTCACCAAGTGWTGAGTTTGACCTTGCTGGTGTGAGRACAAGAGTGTCAGGATCAGAAATGAGCAGACTGGAAGATTAGGCTATGCTTTTAGGGAGGTGCATGGAGGACTGCACAGAAGTTTTCCTCACTAGTTCTGCTGCAGGAAGACTATGTTTTTCTGCTGCCAGGAAAGAGAGGATATAGGAATAAACCGTTGAAGGAAAGATCAGACAATGCTGAACAAGTAATGATATCACTTCAGAGCTAGGAACATTTTGCCTTATGGACATACCCACAGGATTCTGGGGCTTTTCTTTCCATTACAGGGGATTGGCCACTGAGTCTAGATCCAGGGTCTTTGCCATCCCTGCCTGGTTCTACATTGTAAGGACAGTCATGTTCTCAATCAAAGAGACACATGGGTACCTGACCTAGTAATTCCTTTGTGACCTATGGCTCTTAGTACCTTCTCCTGTCACAGAAAAGGAGGCAACAGCCTTTATCATATCTCCAACTAGGCATGTGAAAGACTAGAATCTGTCCCAGTCATTGCTATCTTTTTTCCTCCAATTTCACTGTTGGCTCTTCAGGACTGGCAAACTCCAGCCTTAGAATTAAGTCTGTGCTTTTCCAGGACTTTGTGACTTCCCCTTCCTGAAATGAATGCTGCACCTGCATCTACCTGGGGGGCATAATTCTACCTGCCAGATCTCACAGGTATCTTGTACACATTTGATTGCCTCTAGCTAACACAGGGCTCAAGTACACTGCGCTGTGTCCTCTGTCCTTACTTTCTWACTGAAGACCTTGGTGTACCTTGAACAGGATCACCCCACTCCACCCCACAAAATGCAGATGACACACACCCAGCCTCTTCCTTGCCTATCACTGGGTAAAACTATAAAATATCTTTCTTTCTGGGTCCCTAGTTCCCCTATGGTTCCCAGTCTGTTCCTGAGAGAACTGTTTTACATTTACTAACAGGTCTACACAGCAATTTCCTGACCTCAGTTCCTGGGTTTAYAGCATAAAAAAACCTGGCATGTCAATTCCCCTGCTAGTCATTGGCTAGGATCTTGAGTCAGACATTACCAGGTTGTTTCCAAATTTAACCAGGTTAATTTTCCAAGGATATGTTAAAAATCTTAGCTAAAGCCATTTTAAATTTACAACTTCAGGCCTTTGAAGTCTGGTGGCATCAAAAGGTACAGAGTTTAAGGAAGTTATTTARTGACTCATGGCAGTAATTAAACCAACAATATCAACACTGTCGTGTTTCTGTTACATGTGGCATGTCACAGTTTCCCTGAAATCTGGTTTGCCCTGCTTCTGCCTTATAGTTGACTCTCCTCTCTATGAATAAGTGCAACAGAGACCTTTAAATCACCTTACCTCCAGGACTATTCTTCTAATCTAGATACATGATTCATTTTGTCATGAAAAGCCATACCTACTTCTTGAAGGAATTGCAGCATTGTTTTCAGGAAGGCCTTAGATCCTTTTTTTTTATGAACAAGCTTTTTGCTCCTGAAGCAGTGGGATTTGGTATTAAGAAGCAAAGCAAAACAAGACTTGATTTGGAGATTTGATTGAATTTTTAATTTTTCCTTCAAGCTGCAGGAGGAAGGGCTGGGGGTCGTAAGAGGCTGCAGTCTGGGGTGGCGTGATGTGCTCTCTCACATTGCAACGTCATGTCAGCCAACAGTAATGCTCCCTGGTATTTTGCCACTGAAACCTTCAAATGTCATTACCCCGTGGGTAATTCTGCTTTACACTCCAGTGCATCAACCTCACTCCTGGCATGAGGAAGCTGTACTGCCACTTAGGAGATGTGGCTTCAAACCTCAGCTCTGGCTTTCAAGATCTTGATTTCTTTCCTGGGCAGCAGATTTAAATTTAGCATTCAAGAARGCTGTCGTGTGTTTTCATAGGAACTAGAAGAAGTAGTCTTGAGGGCTAAGAATAATGAGAAATATGTCTGTGAGCAATATGAGTGGGGCAAAAGTGGGGAACTGGTGACACTATTTGATGGGAACCAGAGGCACCATGAGGACAGCATCGTTCTCCAGTGCCTCTGCTGGTACCACAGAAGGTCCAGAACTGGGAACGCTGGTGTTCAGTAGGTGTTGTCAGCTCAACTTCCCACTTTCATTTGGCTCTAGTCCTTCCCCTCATGGGAGAGGAGGGGGATAAGCAGACACAGTGAAAACCTCAAATGCTCTAGTGCAGCAGACCAGAGAAGAGGGTGCTCAGATGTGAAACAATACTTCTCAAATGTAGATCTCAAGGCCAAGGAATATTATTTGCTCTTTGTATTGCCTTCCGCCSCGCCCTTAACCAAGTCCTCCTTTTGCTTGCAGCTCAGTATTTTGCTAGCATCATGGTCATCGTTGGTCTGTCTGTGGTGGTAACAGTGCTGGTTCTGCAGTTTCACCATCATGACCCCCAAGCGGGAAAGATGCCCAAATGGGTAAGCAGCATTGGTGGTAAATGTTCAGCAGGTTACTATTGAAGGAAAATTCTCTAAAAACTATAGTAAACTTGTTATAARTGAGGGGCAGAAGTTGTGCTCTGTTAATCTGAAGAGCCAGTTACACACAGCATAGTTGACACATTTGCAATTGAAGAGAAAGAACTAGCATACTAAATTTGTTTTTCCATTAAAAGCAGTCTGTCTTACTCTCCGTTAAAAATGGTTCCTCCTATTTGTCCTTTCTTTTTAACTTTTACAAATTATGGCTAATGTTGTGGGTAGTACCTTTGATTTCTTATCCATCAGATACCAGAGTACTGGCAGAATGTGCTAAACTAGCACCAGTCTCTACTGGACAGATTGTCTGCTGCCATCCGATCCATTTCCCAGTACATCCCCTTTTCTCCACAGCAGCAGTCAGCCCAGTAAGGTCCGTGCCAGCTGGCTTTCAAACAGAATTTTTATTTTAGATWTTTAAGTTTAAAAATAATAGGCTTTTCCCCACCTCTCTCCTTTTCCTAGGAGATTTTAGAATTGGCAAGGTATGTTTTGTGTTTACTAAATGAAAAAGAACAAAAGCAGAAGTAGATACAAATAGTCACAGTCCTGTATCTACCACTCTGTTTTCACAGAGTCTGGTTGTACAACATCCTTTGGTATCTTGTYCACCACATTTGTCATGCTACACAATTATCCTGACATGCTGGATAATTGAATATCACATGGTTACCAATGTCAGCCCAAGTTCAGAACTGATTTCCATTTCCTCTCTTAAAATAAACTGCAACCTCAATGCATTTTTTTTAAAGTAACAATTAAGCATACTTACAATTATTTCCCAAAGCGCTGTATGATTTTAAAACCTCTTCCTTTCAAGGCAGCAGAGAATGRTTTCTGGATAAACCTGCATGTAAGCAAAACCTGAGGACACAAATCTGGGAAAACAGGCTTCAGGTGTCTTCATGGACAGAGTCTGCAGCACTGTAACAGACCCCATTTTGTTGCTTTATCTGCTTTTTGAGGAGCCCAGACGCAATGGCTCATGTTACACCTGCTCACAGGCCCTGCAAGTCAGCTCTTGCTCTCTACCAATTTCTTGTTTTCGTGGCTGGAAACACAGCATGCAACAAATTTTCACTCAGGAGGAACCTTGTTTAGTGGCCTTGTTCAGTGACAGCTGAACTGGTGTACATTACAAAACATGCCACCAGGAAGCACAAACTGTGGAAAGAATTACTGGGGAGTGCAGATGTTAGACTGTAAAACTGTAAACCAGACAAGCTGACAGGGCTGAGGGATCTCAGGAGGAAAAATGTGAATGCCAAGTATGCAGGGAAGAGGCTGACCCTAGAAAAGTAGGCATTTTTCCTCTGCAAGACACAGGCAAGGCTCATTTGTTAGAATTCATGGCAGTCTCTCTCTTTTCTTTTTTTATTTTTAAATTTCGCCTGCCTACCTATGTCAAGTGTCTCTTGCAGAGACACCTTGAATGACTTTTRCTCAGTAAAAAATATAAATCTGAAGTGATGAAGTAACATAAGGTGATGAAGGAAATATTTTTTGCATTAAATTTGTTTTTTGCAATTCCAGTATCAGCAGCTGCCCTTACCATCTAATTGCTTTGCACAGTATCCTCTTCCTGTCTGAGCCAGACATCAGCCTACTGCAAACTCTAACCCTGATTAACTGGATATTGTTACAGGATTGTTCTCACCTCCTGCTTAAATGGATTTATCTGCTGGAGTCAGTTGCAGGGGGAGATTGGACAGTTGGGCTTGTGTGGGAGCTTCTGCAGACCCAGAAGATTGTACTGGATGCATTTACTAAATACCTGCTTTCTAAACCATTTACAGTTGAGCAGTTTATTTTCCCTGCCTGTTTCTCAAGGGGTCTGTGCTTGCACTTTGCAACAGAAGRAGGAGAGTGCCTGTTAGTGTTTATCCCCTCTGTAGGTGATAATGTCCCTCATTCCACTGCTCAGAATTATGCCTTTCTTTCTATTAATCTTTGATGACTTATGAACCAGCTTTTTCCAAGAGAGGAGTTTAAATCCAAGGTTTTCATCCAGGRCATTTGTTGGCCACCCAGCTGAGAAGTGAGAGCTGCTGGCTGACTGGCACTTTTGATAATGTCTGCTGAGCCAGCATGGAAAGGAATGATAAGGAAGGCGCAGCTGAGGAGCTGTTTGGGAATGGGTTACATTAGACATGGACTCAGTATAGCTCAACTGACCTTCCTGTGCTGACAGCCAAGACTGTTGCATAGGAAGGAGGTTTGGAGAGACAAAGTGCTGACAGAAGAAGGGGTTTTGTGGGAAAAGGCTAGAGAACTCTGCCAGAATCAGGTTTGTTGTTCCAGGCTTCTCTTTTGATATGCTCCAAACCTGAACATGCACAGTTTTGCTCAGGTGCAGATGCCCAAGAGAGCTGTAACTGGAGACTTTCTGTCCTGGACTAGGCCAGGCATGTGGCTGTGATGGGAGCAGTGCAGCTGCATTGTAATTAGAGAGGCTCACAGCAAGGTTAGGCTGTTGACCTGTGTCCAGATAGCTGTACCTGTGTCCTTCCTTCATAGAAACCCATATATAACAACACAGGTGAGAATATAACTCATGTTATCATAATCAGTCTGTTTTCCAAAAACAGTATGCTGTAGCTGTCCCTTGAATTAATTGGTATGACAAGAACAGATTGATGCCCGAATGTCTGAGTTTTCAAGGAAATAAGGCATTTGAAAATCCAAGCTAATTAAAAGCTGTGTTACTGTCTTCTGGGTATTTATTTTTCTGTGTGGAAATGGGTTTGACTGTAGTTATAAATGTAATTTCCCTAAGGAGTAAAAACATTGTCTTGAAAAAAAAAAGGAGCGTTCCTGCCTAAACGTGCTTTTTCACCTCACATCTCCTTCCAGAGTTAAGGCAGACATATTAACATTTTCTAATAAGAAAGTTTGTCTGACTTAGTATTKTGAAATTAACAGTCCTGGAGAATTAATTTCTTTCTCCCTTTTGGAACCAACACTGTTGATACACTGCTAGCAATAAGGCCTGTATTTTGTTCCATGCTGTCCCATTTTGTGTCCTTSAGCAGTCTGAGTACATTGCAATTAAGTAAGTTCAATTAAATGCAGGACCAGATTTTTAGGCTGCAACATTATAGGTAGCTATTTGTTTGKGGTGACTGTGGAGGAAATAATGAAATATTTAAAGCAAACTAATGAGAATAATGGGAAAACAGTCTTTCAGGGCTGTCACAGTTTACCCAGCTGGYACCTAAGTACCAGACAGCCACTTGCTCACACCCTGCCTCTCTTCCCTCATGAGGACAAGAATCAGAAAAATATTCCAACACTTTGTGGGTTGAGAGAAGAGCCGTTTAATAATTGAAACAAAATAGAATATGATAATAGGAATAATATTTATTACAGTAATGAATAACAACAATAAAAATAGGCATAGCAACAGCAAAGAAGAAAGAGTAATAAAATGCAAGAGAAACAAATGATGCACAATACAATTGCTCACCACCTGCTGACTGATGCACAGCCTGCTTTTGACCAGTGATTGATAGCCCCCAACCARATCCCCACATTTTATCCCTTTGGCTAGTTCAGGTCAGCTCTCCTGGCCATGCTTCCTCATGGTATTGTGTGCACCTGCTCACTGGCAGAGCRCAGGAAACAGGAAAGTCCCTGATTCAGGGGAGGCACTACTTTCCAGCAACTAAAACATCAGTCTTTTATCAACATTGTTCTCATACTGCATCCAAAATACCACACTGTACCAGCTCTATTCCTGCAAAAATTGTGACAATAATGAAGAACAAAAGATTMATTAGTGGTAGAGAAGAAAAATGGCTCACAGAAAACAGCACAGGGCTGTGACCTAGAAGAGCTGTCACTGCAGAATTAAAAARTTGTGTTACTGCCTTTCACTGGTCATTGGTTTTGGCYATTATTACTATTATTATTATTAGTAGTAGTAGTATTAATATCTGTGGTTATTAAAGCTTCCTCCTTTCTGAAATTATGCTTGTCATTACAGCAGAAAGTCAAAGTGCTTAGCTGTAATTTCCCCTTTCTTGTATCTTTACACTGCAAACACAGGAGTCAAGTCAGCTGTAATTTCCCCTTTCTTATATCTTTACGCTGCAAACACAGGAGTCAAGTTTTCCTGCATTTAAAACCACTTTGGAGGCAAAGTGTGATCATGCCTGTTCTCTCCTTAATGTCAGATTATTTGTCTTGCAACCAGGATGGTAAAGCCATCAAAGAGGCCTGTCTGCATGGAGGGTCTCTCACAAGCACATTGCAAATGTCTGTTTTGTACACATAACAYCTGGAAGACCTTACAAGTACGAGATTTTACTGATTTAGTTTGGTGCTCTTCACACAAGAGCGATTCCACAGCGCTCTTCCTGCCTTTTGCATTAAACAGTGTTACCAAGAGGAATTCTAGCAGGCTCAGATTTCAGATGAAACATCTGAAGACCAGTTCACTGGAAAAAAATTATGGATGCACTCTCTAGAGCTAACTCACCGGATGACCTTGACAAGAAACATATGAGGCACAATCTGCTACAAGCAGGTTGGAGCACTCTTGTGATGCACCAGCGCACAGGGAAATGACAGCAGTTAATTGTGGCACTCAGATTTTGGACTGCTACATTTAATTGATTTGGTCTTTTGAAAAAAAGCCTGCTGCATTATATGATTGAATTCATCAGAGGATTATAAAACAGCTTTCAAAAAAAAACAAGGCCTTTTATTTAGATGTAAACAATTGGGAAATGTTCTAGAATCTGTCATATAGGGATTTTTTTTTAGCAAAATCTAAAAACTGGGCCTCCCAAAATATTTAACTGTATCTTTTTTCTTACAATCTGAGAAATGCTTGAAAACCATACAGGCAGTTTTGTGCTGTCTGCTCAATTGCAGAGATCTGGGATTGTTTGATAAAGATGCGTCTTCAAGAACCATCTTGTAAACTAAGATTTTACGTGTCTTTTGCTTTACATGGTAAGTGGGTGTTGAACAACCCTATGTTCAAGATAGATCCAAGAAAAAGCCATCCTTGGTAAAACCTCAAAAAAAAGGTTTGAAAGCTGATAGCTGTAGAACACAGAAATCCATCAGTATTTTTAAGAGACTGTGCAGGCTAGCTATAATAGTCACAAAATATTTCAAAAGCTTTTATAATGCCCCAGAGTCTCCTGTATTTCAGCCACGGTAACTCTCTTCCAGGTCCGTGTCATCCTGCTGAATTGGTGTGCTTGGTTTTTACGAATGAAAAAACCTGGGGAAAATATAAAGCCCCTGTCTTGCAAATACAGCTACTCCAAGCACCACCTGAGCGTGAACAGCATGGAGGTGAACGTCCTTCCTGGGCACCAGTCCAGCAATGGCAACACCATCTACAGCTACCACACTATGGAGAGCCCCTGCTGCCCCCAGAACAACGACCTGGGCGGCAAGGGCGGAAAGATGACTTGCCCCTTAGCTGAAGATATTGAGCTTGTGCAGAAGAAAGCTTTAATGGATACTCTCCCCGTGATGGTGAAGATCCTGGAGGAGGTCCAGTTCATTGCAACACGGTTCAGGAAACAAGATGAGGGTGAAGAGATCTGCAGTGAGTGGAAGTTTGCAGCTGCTGTCATAGACAGATTGTGTCTGGTTGCATTTACCCTTTTTGCCATCATTTGCACATTTACAATACTCATGTCTGCTCCAAATTTTATAGAAGCTGTTTCGAAGGATTTTGCGTAAGGTTTTCAAAGGTGATACGAGCATGATAACCCAAAAGTGAATATTGCCAGTAATTTTACCAGATAATTTAACTCAAATAGAGAAGTGTACTTATATATGCTAACATACACAGAAGGGGATTAAAATAATTTCAGGACCTAATTATTCCTGATGTTAGTGATTGTAGTTACTGCATAGTAAACACATTGAACTCTGTTACTTCTTTCATAGACTAGTGCCACATGTAATTATGTCATGATCTGTGATAAGTGATAGACAAGAATTCGATACATTACAATATTACAATATGTTTATTACAAGTTAACACTAGTATCAAAGTGTTCCTATGATATTGTGAACTTTTGGATATTGTTAATTTAATTGAWCATTGATGACTATAAATTTTGCATAATTTTGTTGTTTTCAGTATGTTTGTGTTTTATAATTATTGTTTGGTGTGGCTGTGACATGCACTTCTCAGATTTAAAAGACAAATCCACAGTCTCATGATGCTGTATATTGTATTTATTTAAATAAACTGTCATCATATTAGCTCAAACTACCACAGTGACTGGAATGTTTTCTCAGTAAACTCGTTAAAAAAATTCTTTCCCAGAAAATCACTTTGGTTCTTTTTTTTTTTAGTTAGGAGGTATTAGTTAGGGTATTGGTTGTGACATTGAAAAGAAAATTCCTCCTCCTTGCTGACAACCATGTATACCATTAAYGATRCCTTCTTAGCTGTCTCACAGCTTAACTGTTTCTGGCACCTTGAAAATGTACTCATTTTAAATATCTCTGGTCTCTTGGAACACAGTTGCCAACCTAATACTGCCAAACTCTGTGCAATTAGGGCAGAATCTTGTGTCTCCATAATATATAGGAAATGGTCCACAGATTTAATTTGGCTCAGATTTCATATCTAATCTATACCACCAAAGTAGTACTTTTTGAAAATTCTATTATTACATTCTCTTTTCCATGTGGTAAGTAGACTTTGTTAAAAGAAGTGTATAAAAGACTAATTTTATTTTGCTAAACTTTAATGTATCAATGTTTATTATCAATTTGCTGTCCCCAAATATTCTATAATATGATGTCTATATATTAATAAAACATCATTTAATTATGCCACTTCCTGGAATATAAGGGGAGAAAAAAAAAAGCAGTGTCCTCAATGGCAGCTTCCTTACATCTAATACTGTGGATGGGAATGACACCTCCATTACAGGATTTTATTTTCCTTACTGATCACAGCAGAGCTACAAAAGAGCATGGTCTGATGTAGACACCTTTCTTCTTTGGAGTGACACAGCTTTTCTCTGAATGCTCACTTGTCGAAAACAACAATCTCTTGTCATCTCTAGCTGACTGTCAACTTCCTGTTCTTCCAGTTAGTGTAAAAAGCACCATTTCACTTATCTGCATGATGGGATCCTTCCCACCATCACTGTCAGAGAGAAAGAAGCTGATCATGCTTTTACTCAACAGAAGCTGCTTCCATTTAAAAGGTGATGGTGAAGCTTCTTCCAGAGTTGAAGMAATATGCTACTAATTCTTTAGGGAAAAGGTGCCTGTGCTTTTCCACTAAGGCCTTTCAGARACTTCACTGTTTTGAATGCTAAACCTCTGTAGCTGCAAGGTTAGATCATCACAGCCATGGATTTAGCATACTTCTTAGAGTTATATGCAAAAAAGCACCTAAGCAGGTCAACCTAAGAAGGTCCTGGCTACAGTGACCTGTTTTATATTTCATCTAKCTTTCATGGTTGCTTCAGCTCCAGGAGCAGCTCCAAGTGGTAACCTTCGCTGCTAGTAAAAGCCTCTACTGAAAATTTCATCCATATTTCACAGAGATTTTCATAGGAGCACTAGTGCTTTAAGGAACTCATTCTCCAGCAGGAGAAAACTCTGATGACACCTGGTTCTTTCTTCTGCCCATTTTGCTGCTTCTGCTTACAAAATTGTTCTCACTGAGGTACAAAATGTAATTCAGGAGGGTTTTGCCTAATAGAAACACCTCAATGAGCAGCAGAATTAGCTTGGGAGTTTGAGTTAGTTGTACGAGGCTCTTCTCTTGGACAACAAATGAAATGGTCATTTCATTTGTCCATTAGTTAAAAGTCTAAATATCCAATTATTTCTGCAGCTTGTGATGCAGGATGCTAAGTAAACTTTGGACCACTTGTTCAAGGACCACTAATATTTTTGCTTGAAAAGCATTTTTGAAAGTAATTTCCAGTGACAGGACAAAAAGGTAGAAGCTGATGTTAAARCACACAGTCAAAATAACTTAGCTTCCTAATGCAAAGCATGTTCCCTTGCATGAGAAGGAGTTATGGTATAAGTGCATTTTTAACTGGATGAATACATCTAAGAATCAGAAGGAGGGTGGAAACGATATGAAACAACAGTGAAAAACTAATTTAAATTACTTTTAAAAATATATATATAAAATCKGTGCAAATAAAAGAATTCCATGTATAGGCTATGACTTTATACTGTTAGGCTGCCAAGGATGAGTTGTCCCTTACAGAAATGTCCTAAAACTCCAATTGTATCAGTGACATGCAGTGTACAACTCTTTACACTGGACTGAAGCTACTTGCTGATTACTTTTTCAGATCACATAKGAGGCAGATCCTTTTGCTATCCAGTCATCACTTGGCCTTTTGAAAGGTACTAACATTGTTACCACAAAATTTGTAGAGTGACCTGGTGTAAAACAGCACAGAAAAATGGTTACTGTGCATAGAGAGTGCAAATAAATTTAAGATTTTCCTGAGAGTTACAGTACACTTGGAAAGATTGATACATACTGAGTCACAGCTCTTCATGCCATCACCCATTAGTATCATGATATATTTAATTCCAAAAGAAGGAAAAAATCCCAAACTGATTAAAAAGGTTAAATGGTAACAAGAAATTAACCTATAACATCCTTTCCAAAATCCAGGCACTTACAGAAATGTTACACAAAGAGTGATGACCTTACTGTCCCCTGGTAACATGGGAACATGATAATAAAGATGCTTGTGTACTTTATCCTTTTGAGGAGCTGCTTATTTCCTCAAGGGCACGGTAGGTTTCTGCTGTGAAGCTATTCAGCATAAGAGGATGAGAATCTGCCCTGGTTTATTCATTGACCTTAAAGAACTGTACCTATAATCAAACATAATCTTTACTTCGACTCATGGGTTACCTTAACATATCTAGATATACCCAGGGCCACATGGGTGTTTTTGTTCTTGTTAGATCTTTTTTGCCTTGCAAATTTTCTGTTTTATCTGCCATCATGAGATACAAAGCTGTATAATTTACAGCAGTGAATATCAAGTGTTTCTATATTACAGTAAAGCTACATATTTATTTCATTCGCAATTAACTTTTCAGTATTAAGGATAATAAAGAAGTAGAGGATCATGATCTAAACCCATTATTCTAAATTACCAAGTGCCTAGGAAAAGAGGATGCCATGAATCAAAASAAAGTTAATGAAGAACAGGACTAATCTGGGATTTTAGACAATAAGAATGTCAAACACTGTGAAATCCCCAAATACTGTGAAATCCCCAAAGAAATAAAGGGAGGCAAAACCAGCTGAAATGCTTTCCTTTTGGTGGTGCTCCTCTTGGCAGAATTTGGAAGAAAAATTTAGAACTCTGTAAACATGTGGTGAGGTTACATCTGGGTTAAGAGATTGGGCTCAGCAGTGATCCTCTGGCTGAAAGGCTTCCYAGAATGATATATCCAGTTTGGATTTATATGCTAAATAAGCATTTCTTGATCTCTTCTTTCTTTTTTTCCTTGATGACAGACCAAGGGAGAAAGCACATGAAATATACAAAACTCAAAGTTTCAAAGTAAATAAGAAAGCTTTTGCTCAGAAAGCTGTCTCCTTTTCTTGTTGAGTGAGAGAATGTGAATGGCTCTTCACAGGCCAGAGTAGAAGTGCATCTTGGGTTTGTGCTTGATAAAGGTTGTTAAAGCTAAACTCCATCACAACTGCTTTCTTCCACCATTCCAGATAGTCTTCAGATCTTCAATTCCTCATCAAGTCTGTTGAATCATAAAACTAATTGACACCATTTTTCTCCTGTGCCAGTTTAGGACCAAGAGTGGCTGTGTCTCAAATGCTTTCAAAAGGTGTTTAATCTTAACATCCAATAACAGAGAATTCAGTTTCCCTAATATATCATTGGCATATTTATCTCTCCTTGCTAATCTCTAGCTTATAAATGAATCTAGTAGTTTCAATCACTTAAAAACATTTCATATGACAAAGCAAAATGTCAGGATTGTTAGCTGATTAAGTATGAGGGAAAAAAACGTTTATGGTGATAATCACAATCATTATTAGCAATCAAARTCCAATTCTAAAACTAATGGCAGAGTTATTTTAATATTGGGAATATCTTGATCATGTCACAGACATAATTTTGGAAAAGAACGTTTCCTAGTTCTTCAAACATAGACAATTTATTTTGTGAACAGAAGCCTCTGAGTTGTTACACAGGCTGCCAACACACTGCCCCTGTAGATTTTCATTTAATGGAAGGAACTGATGGAGACCTTCCTAGGTAAACATTGTTTTGACACAGACCAGATAGACTTGCTTGACTAAAGGAAAAAAAATGTTGAACCAAAAAAAAAAAAAAAAAAAAAAAAAA